GAAGGCAGGTTCACCTGGACAGGTAACCAGTCTATCACAGGGCTACACTTAGAGACAGACAACCAAGCACACTCACATTCAGGCCAAAATTATACAATTTATTTAAGCAACAAACTGTAAATACACAAACTAAGGATGTGATTTTCAAGCCTTGGTGAAGCCTTCAGTGACCTGCTGTGACCAACAACAAGCCACTGGGTGACCTGGACGTAGTTTAAAGAAAACTCATTTAAAACTGCAACGAGCTCGTTTCTATAAGGCGACCATTCTGTCTGCAGGGTGACGAACACCTGTCTGCACTGGGACATGTCTGTTCAGGGAAAATGAATAATCAAAGAAACTTAACCTCCATTTTTGTCTTTTTTATGATTTCTGGGATTCTAACTTTGTCATTCTGCACAGAAAACATGTCTGAGTTCCTTCTACGTCCAGCCACCGGCGTGCCGTCTCCACAGACGGGCCGGACTTCAGACTGCAGTGAACAACGAGGCCACAGCCAGTAACATGTCTGAACGCCCAGAAAGCGCCTGAGGTTTGAGCCTTGATGCGACTAAACCAGGTGAGTTATAGAAGCAGTCCGTCCTGTACGGTGGTGACTGAGCAGGAAGGAGCTGCAGCGAGCAGGAGGTTTGTGTACGAGCCTGGAAACATGTTTATTTGTGCAGGAAAGCCGAGCGTGTTCACACAGAGGTCGATGGGGACGTCCTGGCTTTAAAGCAGCCCCAGGTGGACGTTTGAGGAACTGCAGCCTGATGGTGGTTTTACAGGAACAGGCAGATGGTGCAGAACCTCCTGACTCCTGCTCTGGGGACCAGAGTATCCAGAACGTCCTCAGCAGCCTGTCCATGACGTGGACTCATTAGTTTCTCAGTTCAGGGAACCAGGAGGGAAATGAAGAGTCACCAGGGGACGGACGGCGCTGACGGCAGATGCAGCAGGAGAGGAGAACACTCTTGAAACGCCCTCTTCACAGCTTCCTAATTATCAGCGCTTTGTCAGCTCGTGCATCACCCGGTCTGCTCGTGACAGCAACAGGCCTCGTTGTCATGACGCCCTTTAATCAGGAGTCACCTCCACGACCTTGGAGGGCGTCTCTCCCTCCTCCTGTCCTCCACCACAGTTTACTTCAGCCAAGCTTTGATGTCTCGAGCTGCTATCTTCCTCAAGTGGCGTCGCTGACTCAAGCTGCTGTTGTTCCTCCGATGAAAGCAGCAGCCAGCGAACGCTGAAGGCAACGCTGTGGAGCTGCATGAATGATGAGACCACCAGCACGCTGCATGGAATCAGGGAAAGCCACATCGTACGTGTAGTTCCTCTGCAGGATATAGATATAGATATATATACATATATATATATATGTATATATATGGGGTGTAAAGAGCAGCAGAGTCGATCAGGTTCACATTTTATGTCGTTTCCAGGTTTCTCCTCGTAGCTCCGAGCAGCTTCTTTCACCTCCATGTCGTCACTCGTATGACCAAGCAGTTTGTTCTCATGAATGAAGCCGACGGCCACATGAGCCCAGGACTCAGAACAAGCCCCTCGTAGGCGTCCAGTGATCCACCTGTGACAGAAACACTACAAACAGCCCGTCGGTACTGGTTCTGAAAGCCTCCTCTGCAGCCGTTCACTGGTGTTCTGCGTTTGGTGAAGTGAAAATGATCACATGAGTGATTTCTCTCTGCTGTCTGGATCCTCTCTCAGGCACATATATATATATTTGTTTTAATTTTTAAAAATGTACATTGGACCATAAAATAACAGTTTGTACTGGATTTAAATTAAGGATTGAAAACAGTTATTTTACAGATTCTCACGATTTTGTTGAATATCTGGTAAAATCACAGAATTTACAAATAAAATAAAACAAAACCACAAATAACGTCCACATCAAAAATCAGTTTTTTAATTTTTCTTTTCTTTTTTCTTTTCTTTTTTAAATAAATAGCAGTTCTCTTTTCTTTAAATGTGTAAAATTACACCGTTTACATTTATTTAAATCAGCTTAACACACCATTACTGTACAGATATTTGCTGTATTTGTTTCTACAGGTTCTGTACCGGTCCGGTTCTGGCTCCCTGCTGCCAGATTATCAGTGTTTTTATTCTAAAGTTGTGTGGATGACTTTAAACGGTGACGACAGCTTGTGAGGAACCAGGATGAACACAGGTGACGTCCAAACAGCGCTGCAGCTGTTTTCTGTGTCTCTGCTCGGATCGATGAGGTTCTAAACCCGACTCCACGACACCAGCGCTGCTCAGAGAGGTGTCGGTGTTTTGTGATCCGCAAATGAAAGCCAGACGGATCTCGGCCGGGCTCAGCCTCGACGCACCAAACCGTATTTGACAATATTGAAGAGGAAACACAAACGTCCCGTAATGCCGAACAGATGAAGCAGCAAACGGTGGTGATGATCCAGCGGGCCGGTCCGGCTGCAGCGGGCCGAGGGAGCAGCGCTATCGGCTGTGTGTGTGTCGAGTGTTTTCACTTTCATCTGGTTCTCATTTGGGCGGAGGTTTGCATAATGATTCTGGCCTCGGTAGCCGTGGTGACGAAGCGGGCTGGTGAGCTCGGGTGAGCTGGTTCTGGTTCTCACGGCAGTCAGAAATAACCTCTGACAGGAAGCAGCGTCCCGTTCATGTCAGAACGCTGAACAAAGGCCACCGTCGCCTCCACAGCTTCTAGTCTGTGATTTTATTTGCTTCTACAATGATTATGTTCTTGAAACGAACATTTTATGGGATCTGAGCGTTTGTCAGCGGCTCACTGAAGGTTTAATCTCTGGTCTTGAAGGAGAACATCTGAGGAGAAGGATCTGGACCTGCTGCTGTAGGACGGTGAAATCCAGCAGCTCTTCCTCCTCTCCTCGCTTCTTTTCAGAAAACTTTGCTTTTTTCTGGAGCTGCCGCGTAAACAGAGCTGAGCGCATACATCAGCCGTACACACAGGAAGCAACACATCCCTACATCCTGGTCGGCCCAGATCGGCCCAGATCGGCCAGAACACAGACGGGCTGAACATTCAGACCAGAGGTCAGGAACACCGATCAGCTCTACGCCACCGTCTGCTGTGAAATTCATTGATGTGGTTCCAGGTGTGGATCTGATGGAGTCGGAGGGAACCAGAGCTGATCAGGACGAAGAGCTCAGGCTGCAGACGAGCTTCCACCAGAACACCAAGAAAACCGAAACCAGCAAACGACCCGTCAGCTGTTCTGATAATCGATTAATCCGTCTAGATGTTTAGAGAAGACAAAATCTAAAGTCTCTTATTCCAGCTTCTTAAACGTATGTTTTCTGGTTTCTTTCCTCTTGGATGACAG